ACTTGAGAATCAAGCTTCAGAATTTAGCAAGAAATACTCCCTGAATTTAAAAACTATGAACCAGAGTGCAAACATACCAGTCTAAAAAAGAAATTTCCATGAACATAATTAATATTTCATCTGACCTCATCACACACCTTTAAACAGACCTCATCACAAAGACCTGGGATGCTTCCACCCTGACTTGGGGACGGAGCCCCATACTAGCCATCACACAACATTGTGTCACTTCTGGCTGAAGCCTTGCCCCCAACTGGGTTAAAAGCATTGCCGGGGTCCTCGCTCTCAACATGGGAGGCTTCTTGTGTTGTGCTGACTCCAATTGAGCCAGCATGGATCTTCTGCACTTAGGTGACATTTCCCCTGTGTGGTGGAGAAAGCATTGCTGAGAGGGAGCTGCGTGCAGGGCGACAGGTTCTGCCTGCTGCCCCTCTCTTTTCCCCCAGAAACCAGGCAAAACAGGACACTTCAACTGGTCTTTGTGATGATGCTCTGTGTGTTTTAGTAGGCTCCTCATGTTTCATGAGTGTTCACTTTTTCATCAGCTCCCATCAATGAAACCTTGATTCAATCTAACAGCCATAACTGCTGCTGAAACAATTTCATTAAAATCAAAACTTTAACTAGAAAAGTTTTGAGAAAAGTATACCACAATACACACCTGGTATCTGCTGATTTTTGAGCAACATTAATGGGCCTGCTTAGTACTGGGAGAAAGTACCACCAGGAATATCAGACCCAAGATGAGAAGAATCCTTACCTTTTTTGAGATAAAGAAATTGATTGTGGGACATTTTCTTATAGAATAATACATAAAAGATTCAAGCAAATGTGCCCATGTATTTATTTTCTCCATATTATTTCTAAAAACTATGAACTTGGTAGATTTTTACATGGGACTGTATACAACCATTCTGCTCAAAGTGGTGTTATGCAGAGCTATTGATGGCCAGTCTGTGGTGAGTTGTTGACAATGTGTACAATTAATTGTGCTGGTTGTTGGCATATTACGGGTAGAAAGAGAAATAGTTTTCTTCATATCAGATAACCCAAGAAACACTGATATGCAGTGTCAAATCATTATAATTTCTAGTTTCTTTTGTTCTTACCCCTTTTGTTTTGATTTTCATAAACTCACAAAATCAAAGACGTTCCTTACAATATGCAATCTTAGTTTGTAAGAAATATAATAAAAATAAAAAATTGAAATAAAAATAGAAAATTTAAGAAATAAATCAATTGGTAACCATTTTCTGAATAAAATGTATTTCACTATACCTAACATGATAATTTTAAGCTAAGTTATAGATACTGGATCAGCCTTGCATGAGAGGCCCAATCATGAGATTTGAAGTTTAAAACTTCAACTCTCACGATTCCATAACATCAGATCATGAAGTTAAAGTAGTGTCAAACTAGATTAATTTTATATAGTAAATGCACCCTAAGAAGGGATAGAACAGGATTCTGTCTTAGGTCTTGGAAAGATGTAGCTAGTCACAATGGACAGCAGTGAGCTTTGTCGTCTGAATCAATGTAAAGCAGCTTGAAACTTCTGTGATCATAAATACTTGCAGTTAGATACCCCTGATATTAAGAGTTACTCATTCTCTACTACATTTCATGGTAATCGGTAATCTTGCAAAACACTCAGGAACATATGGTATTTGTGCTTTTGTTTAAATGCATGAAGTCATGCAAATTGTTAAGTGCATTTGAGTGGTGCTTCATGTTATCTACAGTGAAATGTCATTGGAAACGTATAATCATATATTGAAGAAGAGATCATTTTTATGCCAAGTAATTCTTTTTGCCTGCCTATGGAATGAATCATCAAATAGAATGGTTAAGGACAACTGTATTTTTTATAATAACATAGCTTACATCTATTGAGTTTTTCTCCTTTAAAGAGTTAAAGGATCAAAATATTTGTAATATTTGCCAGGAGAGAATTAAAAATGTCACCATACTGAAAAAGTGCTGCAGGGCTTTTCTCCCACCCCTTCTTTTAATGAATTTATAATTTATTTATGTCTAGAAGTTTAGCTCTTTTTCCTTTCCTTTTCATTACACCCTCACCAGGGAGTTTAGATAATACAGAAATCCCTTCAGCAAATGATCACTAGCATTTTATTTTCACTGCACAGAAAATATAAGATATTCTAAAGGGATAATGTTTTGGCATTTACCAACGACAAATGTATTACTAATGCTCTAGCATATGCTTAGAGGTTAGTACAAATTAATGTGTGAGCTCAAGCAGTGAAACCTCATTGTCCAGAAGTAAGATGTACAACAACTATATTTTATACAGTATGTGTTGATGGATTTCAAGATTCATTTTCTGTTTAAAGCAGAACATACTGTTTGTTATCCTTCTTATTATTCATTTATTTTTATTTTAAACACTACCTTCGTGTCATAAAACTGAGTCCCATTTTGATGTCTAAGAATAATAAACATCAAGACGTAAAGCTGAGAAGAATGGAATACCAACATATTGAATTATCCACTGTCAATGAAACAGCCTACAGTTGAATTAAATAAAAATGACCAGATAAAAATGTTTTAATTCAGGCATATTTAATTACCATTATATACGTAGATGTGATGAGTTCCCTACCTGTTAGGCTAGGAAAAGCCTAGAAAAGTAGGCCCAGGAAGTTTGGCAGCCATTTTGGAAAGGGGGTATCCATTTCAGATTTCATTTCCTGAAGAGGGCATTCTTATGAGTAGCTTGGAGGGAAATGAGAGGAGATAGTGATTAGCTGGGATAGAATGGGCGCAGCTTAACTTAGAAAAGGGAAAAAAAGACTTTAATGGTGTGTTTTAAAACCCTGTCAGCACAGATTGAGTCTGGGTGTCAAAGAAGAAAGAGTTAGGAGTTTGGAGAGGAGAGGAGAATAGTGAGAGAGGCCTGAAGTTGGTCAGTTAGCTAGCAGAGATAGCTAGTGAGAGGATTTTAGAGCTATTAGGGAAGATAGCTGGTGGAGGAGTAGGGAGATAGATTCAGGAAGGGACTATCTGAGGTAGAGTATAGAATTACTTTCAGAGGGGAATCCTGTCAGTAATTTCTGGAGGGAGAGAGGAGTGTTTATGTGCAATTAAGTTTGAACTGCCTAAAGAAACCACATGCTTTTAAGTCAATACTTCAGAACAACTAAGCTTAATGCCTGCTTTGTTTAAGTTCTCTTAAATAAACATCATTGTTTTATTGTTCACCACATCTATCTCATGTGTGCCTCTGTGAGTGAAGTTTCCTGCAGCAATCAAAAGTCTATTTCTATGGGAAGTGTGGGCCTGCTTTTGGCTGATGAGATAAGATTGTTGTTGTTGTTGTGTCCTTTCAAGTCATTTACAGACTTAGGTTGACCCTGAGCGAGGGCCACGTAAATGACCTTGGAGGGCCGTATCCGGCCCTCGGGCCTTAGTTTGAGGACCCCTGGTGTAGACTATGCAGAGATAGTGCAGGAGTGTATATAATGTGGCTGATCAGATGTTTATGGGATCGAATTGTACTTTGTTATGAGCCACCTTGAGTCCCCTTCAGCGTGAAAAGGGCGGGATATAAACACAATAAATAAATGATAAATAAATGTTGTTAGACTGCAAGTTTCATTAGTCCTAGTCAGCATAGTCCAACAACATCTGGAGGGTTGTAGGATTGACTGGCTTAGAATGACTGCAAATCTACCTTTGTAGAAAGCATCTTCCTAAGATTAATAACAACAAGCTAGCTAAACAAGAGAAATTAGACTTAAACCAATATATCTTCATTAATGATTATAACGATTAATGATTTTAATAGATCTGCTTAAATGCAAATAATTAGCTCCTATCCCTAGAAGTTACTGTGTTGTTACAGAAATACTTGTGTGTGGGTGTTTATGCAGTTAAGGAAGGGAAAGTTAATCAATTTGGTATATGCTACACTACCTTGTTTTTGTTTTCATTCCGTTTCACTATCCACTTAATTCTCCAGAGAAGAACCTTCAGCAGGTTGCCTTCAGCAAATATCTGTTTGGGATATTTTGGAAGTGAAAATTTTGGAAGCAACCCTGCAGCTAGTAGCTGCCACTCATAGATTAGTCTTCAAAGCATTAGCTGTAGTCCTAGTGCCAGTGAAGAGAATTAGGGCTGATCCAGTCAGGTTGTTTTCAGCTTCAGGTTGTCAGGGTCACTCTAATAAAATATCAGGAAATGAGCAATGTTTGATTTTTTTTCCACAGGTAGAAAATAGTTGGCCCTATTCAGCTAAATATGAGACAGAAACAGATTGTTTGAATATTAATGTTTCCTTCCCTTCATCATTCACATATGTTCTCTCTCACCCTGTGTATCATACATAGTCAGGGTTCTACACATCTATTGTGCTGGATAGCTGGAGGATCCATAACTGCTATACACACATATTGTGTATATGTTATATTTATATCCTGCTTTCTTTCAAAGAGAGAAAAAGTGGGGAGCTATGTGGTGTCATACTCACCCCATTATCTGTTCTCACGTGGGCTGTATCTGCTCATTCTTTTTTTTTTAAAAAAAAAACTGGACATAACAGGTTGCTGTCGGTTATTAAGTCAACTTTAATTTATGGCAACTCTACAAATGAGAAACCTCCAGCAAGGAACATATTTATGAAGTGCTGCAGTTCCTTGAAAACATACATTTGCTACTATTTATTTTATTTACACCTGCAGGGAAAGTAAAATCCCCAACATTCTCAGGAATCTACTGTCAATTTAAACTTGAAGCCAGTTATTCTAAAGGAATTCTTCTTTTCATCTAAATGTTTCATCTAATGTTTGGAATTCTTCTGTCTACTAAACTACACTATCAGTGTTTCTGGGTGATTCCTAAATTGTGTATAAATTTACATAATCTAGAATATTGTGCTAAAATAATGTCTTAATTTTGAAATATACTTCCTTAGATCATCAAATGTAAACAACTGGGAACTCAACTTTAATTAAATTATTGTTCTATTTTTAATTCTGTAGCAATATGTGTGTTTGAAGGGAAGACCTACTTTGAAGGTGAAAGAGAAACCATACACTCAAACTCAGGGGATTGTATTCTGTTTGAATGCAAGGTGAGGACATTTTTTATCTTTCCTGTATTGAGTTCATACTTAGCTTGTAGTTTAAACCTGTCTTTTTTTTTGTAATAGTGATATTGTCGTGTTTGCTGTGTTTTGTTCGGTTTTATTTCAGTCAGGAAAAAAAAGCATTTTCTTTGACTAAAGCCTTGTAATTTGATGAGAAATGGAGAATAGCTGTTTATATTCCCACTGTCTTTACAATTGTCTTCACTATGGACAGAAAGAACAAATTAGCTGTTTGTATTTGCTCATGGGAATCTCTGATCCTTAGATATAAAACAGTTTTTGTAATTGTTAAAGTTGCTTAACTTTATAAGCTCCATTCCCAAACTAAATTCTGTATATAAATTATGCGGCCTTTCACACAAGTTGAGTACAATACTATGATGATAACATCACAGAATAGCTTCATTGTAATTCTGTAATTTTGAGCAGTTTGAATTAGGTGAGTAGTTTAAACTCAAGAGCTGGTAATGTCTAAACATCCAAGGCACACCCTCATTAAACTGCAGAAAGGTGCACTCCCCCATGTACACTATCCCAGTTTTTTTAAACTAAAGGACTCTTAAGCTCTCTTGGGAACAGGGGGAAATTGCTATTTGGAGTAGATCCTGTTCAAAACTGGAAATAGCTAGAAGTCATAAGTTTGCACCCTCCATTTCCAAAAGTACTAAAATGGGTCCCATTCCACACAATAGATTCAGAGGCCCTTTAAAGTAATTTTAAAAGGCAAGAACAAAGAAGTGATGGGGCTACAGTCAGCCCCTCAGTGGTAGTATGTGTCTCAAAAAACAGCTAATGAGCTGTATTTTGATCTTCCTTGTTTAAATATTGAAGTTAATATACTTTAAACTCTATTGTAACTATAAATCACATAGAATCAGTGGGACATATGATATTGATGAGTTAGTAATGACTAATTCAGTCCCATGTACATTAGTGGGAAAATTTTGAAACTACTGTTACATTACTATTCTTTGGTAGGCTGCAGCAGATTTTATTATGGCATTGGATAACCAATAGCATAGTCCCTTTTACTAGAATAAAACTGTGGTTAGTATCTTCTGGTGTGCAATGGGTTAAACTCTTATGCTGGCAGGGCCGAAGACCAACAGGTCAGATGTTCGAAGCTAGTGAGAGCATGGAGGAGCTCCCTCTGTCAGCTCCAGCTCCCCATTCGGAACATGAGAGAAGCCTCCCACAAGGATGGTAAAACATCAAAACATCCAAGTGTCCCCTGGGCAACGTCCATGCAGATGGCCAATTCTCTCACATCAGAAGCAACTTGAAGTTTCTCAAGTCGCTCCTGACACAGGAAAAAAAGTATCTTCTGGTTCCCAACCATACTTTCTAAATGGCTAATCTAAATCAGATTAAAAATGTATTTAATAATTTATGGAATCAAATCATGATCTTGATTCAATAGGGCTATAAAATGCAGCGTGTGGTGAAAACAGATTGTCCTGCCTTGAGTTGCCCTGAGTCTCAACAGATCTCCTTATCTAACAGTTGCTGCAAAGTGTGTAAAGGTAAGACAAAAGAAAAGTGGAAAAACCTGTCATGTATCTCATAAAGTGTACTTGATGCATGGAAGTTTAAATCTGTTAATCTTACAATGATATGATGGCTTTGTTGTCTTTGTTATGAGGGAGGGCTAACATAGCAGCCCTTCTGCACATTGTCACTCCAAAGTGTTGAGAATTTATACTCATACATTTATGCATTTATACACATACATTCATACAAGTAAATACATACATTCATACATATGCTAACAAGTAAGGATTTTTGTAGTACATTTCCTTGAAGGAGGTATCTTAGTTGGAATCACTCCTGAACAATAAGTTGAGTTATAAAGGGAATTTTTGTAGAACTCTGTTTGTCTAGATGGGAATTGCACATGGCCATTAGAAAGGGTTTGGTCCTGAAAATGGCACTCTGACTCCAAATATGTGCCCATTCTGGTTTAGTATCAACTCAGCTTCCATTCCTATGTTTGATAGTCTCCACTTGACAAGTAATGAGCCCCTGGTGGCACAATGAGTTAAACCTTTGTGCTGGCAGGACTGCTGACCGACAAGTCAGTGGTTCGAATCTGGGGAATGGGGTGAGCTCCCATCTCAGCTCTAGCTTCCCATGCGGGGACATGAGAGAAGCCTCCCACAGGATGATAAAACATAAAACATCTGGGTGTCCCCCAGGCAACGCCCTTACAGATGGCCCGTTTTCTCACACCAGAAGTGGATTTGCAGGCTGGTTAGGAGTAGCATATGATTAAATACATCTTTCATGGAATAAAAGGTACAGGTGTACGTTACTTTAAAAAAGGAAACTTATAGCAATTTGACTGGTAGGAGTGGTTTTGCAAGCTTTCTGCAAGAAATGTGGGTGATTGTGTGAGGCTTTTAAAGGTGTGACTGAAGATCAAATGTTTCTTTTTGTTTTTTTTAAAGTGGAATCATGGAAAATTACTCTATTGAATAGATGCTTTATAATTGCTTCAGTAGTTTTAACAGAGAACACCCTTGAATAGCGTACATTACATTGGATCACAACTTTAAATGTTACTTTTTGCAGTTTTTTTTCTTACATTATCACATGAATTAGATCAGATAATATGAACCTTCATTTGTAATAAAACGGGCTGGATACGAGTTATTGTGTTGGATTGTTTGTTGGTTGTGTTGTCCAGGGCAATGCTAGCTTCTTTCAAGTATTTATGGATTCACTAGTCATGGTTTCACTTACACCATGTGTAAGCTGCCCCGAATCCCTTCAAGGAGTTGGAGACAGGGTATAAAAATAAAGTAGTAGTAGTAGTTGTTGCTGTTATTATTGTCATCCACATCCAAAATACACCCTGTCCTCCAAATATAGTATTTGTGGGACTCTATATCCTCCAATGCTTTTGGCCAAATTATAGTAAAAATAACTACAGTTTCATGTATACATAATAATTCTTGAAACATCTCCCTCATGGGTTGTGCTGTTTCCTTCTTAATAATAATAATAATAATAATAATAATAATAATAATAATAATAATAATAATTTATTTATTTACTTCATTTATATACCGCTTTTCTCAGCCCTCAGGCGACTCACAACAATAATAACAACAACAACGACAACAACTTTGTTTATATACTGCTCTATCACCCCTAGGGGACTCAGCGCAGTTTCCAAATAGCAAAACACCAATATACAGAGTACGCACACCACATCTCCATCCACCTTCATATACTGTCCATGCACTCAAGATTATTCTTATCTTTTCAATAAATAAAGTACACCAGCCAACTTCTTACATAAAATAAGCCCCCATTCTCTTGAGAATTTCTCATATACCTGTGCCACATGTGAAAACAACAGCAATATTCATCTCCTGTATTAACCAGCTATAAGATTTAAAATTAATGATATGACAAAGAAGATGAAAATCATCATAAAGAAAGCCATATAGCAGAGGCAGATAAGAATTTCATATCTATAAAAAAAAACCCTCAACAGGCATTTTATTATATGCATTTCAATTATTTAAATGACTCAGGGGAAAATATTCCATTAGAAAGTTTCTGTCTCTTCACAGAGACCACACAGGCTTGACAAGTGCAATTGGCATTTTTCATCCTTGTTATCAGAACCTTCACATGTCTGTATTGGGTCAGCTTAAATGTGCTTGTCATGAGCTGCCTATACATCTTACTTCTGAAAGTTGAAATCAGTGCAGATTTAATCATCCATTCTCACTCTCTTCGAGTGCCTCATTGCCAAAGGGAACATATTGATCAATAGAGAAAATGTAACCTTTGCCTCCTATGATGCTAAAGTTCTAACACAAACTGATAAAAGCCAGAAAATCCTAGCCTAAAGCTAATATTTGTCCTTAACTATGCTTTTTTGAGAGGAAGAAGGAACAAGATGGACTGCCATGGGACCCAATGCTTCAACCCACAGCTGGTAGTGAAGCCATAGATCAAGGATAGAAAGTCTCTGGCATGCACTCTGGATGCAGACCATGCAAGTTTCCCATCTAGCTTGAAAGCTTCTAATGTTAGCTTTGATTAGTGATCAGAGACAAAAGTATATTTAAGCTTTAAATAGCTGATAAGGCTTGCCGAGGATTGAGCTGCACTTTGTATGCCTCATGTGAAAATGGCTACCTACTTTGCATTGGTTCCACATCATTGTTGACCCTGATTAAGTCTGGGGTATTCTCATCTCTCTACACATCACTTATCCATTACCTTAATCTTTTATTTAGCATTACCGAAGTGGGCTGAAGAGGCTATTGCTAATGGTTTGAAGGATGTCTGGTTTCCACAGATTAATTGCACATATGTAAATTGGAGGGTGCTTCCACACTGGGGAAACACCCACGAAGAAGTGGGTATAAGAAACATGGCTTATTGTGGGTCTTCATCCTCACACTTACTCTCAAAATCTGGGCTTTTCTGGGCTGGGGTTGTCCCTATGTCACTATCGCACTGGAATGGGGCCACCCCATCCCCCCCAGCCTTAACTTTTTAAAATAATAATAATAATAACAACAACAACAATAGCAATATTAATAATAATAAAAACTTAATTTGTATTCCACCCTATCTCTAAGAGACTCAGGGCGGATTCCAACAGTGGCAAACATTCAATGCCTACATATGATACTAACATAAAATCCCAGAAAACCCCCACAAAAAAGTAACATTAAAGCCTAACATCAACTTAAGACCTAACATCAGTAAATTAAAACCCTACTGTGTCACTAAGATGTTGCTCCGGCAATCCCCCCCCCCCACCTCCTGACACATCATTTCTATGTTTGGTGGATGATGACTGTGCAGGGCTTGGCTAGACAACTTGTCAAGTCCCCTTTTCAGTAGTTAATCGTAAGGTGGAAGTGTCTGTCCCATGATGGTAGTGGACATGTTCTACCAGTGAATCCATTCTTCACCTACTGTAACACCATACAGAATGGCAAGGAATGCTCTACCATGCATGTGAACACAGCCAGAAATCCAAAAGTATAAGAAAATGGAAGATTTTTCAGTGTCTGACAAAATTTTACAAGTGGTAGGCTTATAGTGCAGCACAACTTACAGCTTTGTTGACCAGTTGATAATATTTTCCAACTGTGAATTGCACAGTTATAAAGTTTATCATGGTTAAGAAAAATTCTAAGATAATTAAAACCAGATAAGTGAGGAAATGTTACTTCTAGCTGCTATGTCAGGGTTGGGTAAAGTGCATCTTTCAGAGTTATTTCTCTGGCCCCAGGGTCCCTCAAGAATAATAACCCCCCGCCCCCCAAATGCCTAAAAGTAATATTTGGAAGTATGAAGGGCATTTCTATTGTGATTGGAACCACTTTGGGCGAGACAGTGATCTTTTTTTTTTTTTTACAAAAAAGTAGCCTCAGAATACTATTTTGATGTTCAAAAAGCCCTCAAAATATATCTCTATGCCCCCCTAAGGCAAACATTTTTGTTGTTTTTGGGGCAGGCATGGTAAGTGTGTGCAGCTGGCCAAGATCCTTTGAGGGTCTAATGCGGCTTTCTATTTTTCTACAGTTTTCCACTCCTGACTTACATGATGGTGATACAATTGTATTGGCATAGAAGACATTTTCTTTTGATTTTTATAGGTATTTGTTTAGTTCTTATTTTAGCAATCTTTTAGCCAAGTGCTTTATTATCCCAGTAGTCTATTACATGCCATTGATGGAGGTAACAATGAAAATGATTGCTATAAAAAAGCACTGCTTTATTTCCCACAAGGTATGCTACATAATTTACATCAGATGGTCATGGAAACCCAAGAAAGACATATACAAGATCTAGAAAATACCTATCCTGGGTTTCTGGTTTGTTAAAAACAGCAGGAAGCTGCCACATAATTAATTTGAAAATGGACTTTATGACTCAGTTATTCAGAGCTTTGTAACTTATTTTTAGGGCACAACTTTTGTTCCGAAGGACACAAGTGCTTGGAGAATTCTTTCTGCAAGAACCTTGAAGAGAAGGCTGTTTGTAGTTGTCGAGATGGTTTCAGAGCCCTCCGAGAAGACAATGCATACTGTGAAGGTAATCCATTGTAAAGAGGGATGGATCAGCTATAAAAATATTACTATGTATTAGTGTGTGAAGTATATATTATGTATGTATTCATTCACACAATGTCAAAGTGATGGACTCATTAAATGCAGGGAATTTAATTTCGAGCATATTAATCGAGTGAAACAATTATCTCTCCAGTTAGGGTTTGCCTTTAAAAAATATCCAATCTGTGACAAAGTATTAGCTGATATGACTGTGTCCTTGATTTAAAACGAATATATGGTATTAATTGTGAAGTATGGTGTTTTTCATCAATCAGATTTCTGATAAACTTATGCTTTCATATTAGGACATCTTAATATATCTTCTCAGCTGTTATACCTTTTAATTAAACCTTTCAAGTTTTTCTTTTCTTTGAAAAAATGCAAATTTCAAAGTAAGCAATCAGGGAAAAAACTCAATATCTTATGATAAACATAATTTTAATAGCCAATCTTTTAACAAAAAAGGATGTTATGTAGTGAATGTAAACAGAGTGGATTATAGATTCCATCAGCTGTAGATCAACAGATCTGATGGGCCCCAGCTTGAGAAAGACTGAAGCACAGTGTTGTACAGTGGATGATGATGATGATGTTTTCTGTCCTATCCCAGTTCAGGACACATAGCAGCTTATAACATCATAAGGAATTATCACATTTCAGAAATGTGGGTTTTCTATGGATAGTCATAGTTGCTTCTTTCTGTTCTATAGTTGTCCCAAGATTCTGACACTCCAGCTGAATTTCCTTATGACATCTAGATTTTGAAATGTCAGAATTAGTGCTAAGACTGTTTGAGAGCTTTTCAGTGAAAACTGAAAACCTAATCCTAAAAACCTGATGGATTTCAGGGGAAAAGTATCTAAAAATTAAAAAAAAGTTTTGCTTGGAGGACTGCTTTTTTAAAAAAATTAGCTAGAATACGAATTCCTTCTTTCCTCCCTCCTCTCTCTCAAAGAAAAAAAATTACTTGGTTGCCTTTAGCTGTCCTTAGCTTTTAATTTTTTTGCACATTGTGTATAATATAGCATTTACAAATCACTATTTAGAACTCTTAGTTATCCCATGCACTCTCCTTCCTTCTTCCCAAGTCACAGACATTTACATACTACACCCCTGTCAGTCATCTAAATAGTCAGTTATTCTCTACTCTAACTTCTTTTCTTAATAATGATATCTTGACCTAGTCATCTAAATCTTACTTGATTTAAGGGTGGCTTGAATTTGCTGTTGCTTTGATACATATGGCTAAGAAATGGTTGTCGTTGTAAAGTACATTCTTGTTAAAGATGGGTAGATAACGGTAAAGGGTTCCCTTGACATTGATCTACTCACATTTGCATGTTTTTGAACTGCTAGGTTGGCAGAAGCTGGGGCTAACAGCGGGAGTTCACCCCACTCCCTGGATTCAAACAGCCAACCTTTTGGTCAGCAAGTTCAGCAGCTTAGCGGTTTAACCCGCTGCACCACCAGGGAGCCTAAAGATCATGTGGGAACTATATCCCGAATTACAAGGTCAACACTATTGTCAAATTGAGCAAATGGCATGAAAGTTTCCCATGTTAAAAGGACTTGTTTGTGCAAGGAGTTGAGCATGTTCCTCCCAGACTCCCACATTATCTGTCTACTTCTACATATATTCTGCAATGTGTATCTGGTTTACTAAAATGTACCAAATAAACATTAAGCAATAATAATGTTCTTCACAATGGTCTCAGGGCAGCAAAACCAGTAAGGCAATCCAGCAGTCACTGTATACATATTCTTATTATTTGATGGAACTAAGCTCATGTATTTGGCAGAGAATCATTATGTGTTAAGTAACCTGATTTTTGTGTGTGTCAGGAGCTACTTGAGAAACTGCAAGTTGCTTCTGAAATGAGAGAATTGGCCATCTGCAAAGACATTGCCTAAGGCAGTGGTTCTCAACCTGGGGTCCCCAGATGTTTTTGGCCTTCAGCTCCCAGAAATCCTAACAGCTAGTAAACTAGATGGGATTTCTGGGAGTTCTGGGCCAAAAACATCTGGGGACCCCAGGTTGAGAACCTCCTGACTGACAGGTTGGAGGTTTGAATCCGGGGAGAGCACGGATGACCTCACTGTCAGCTCCAGCTCCCCATGCGTGGACATGAGAGAAGCCTCCCACAAGGATGGTGAAAAAACATCAAACATTCAGGCATCCCCTGGGCCAGTGGTTCTCAACCTGGGCAATTTTTTTAAAAAAAATGATTACATTATAGAATCAAAACTCTATAAAACAAATCCATTTAAAAAGAATTGAGTGGCACTTTATCTCCTTGTAACAAAAGAATGATAGTAAGCTTTTTCAATTGATATTTATTTATTTATTTACTGTATTTATATACCACCTTTCTCACCCCGGGGGGACGCAATGTGATTTACAACATACTAATGGCAAAAATTCAGTGCTAACGTTTGGGTACCACAATTAAAAAGAGATTTTGACAAACTGGAATGTGTCCAGAGGAGAGCGACTAAAATTATCAAGGGTCGGGAGAACAAGCCATATGAGGAGCGGCTTAAACAGCTGGGAATGTTTAGCCTGCAGAAAAGAAGACTGAGAGGAGACATGATAGTCATGAATAAATATGTGAGAAGTCATAGGGAGGAGGGAGCAAGCTTGTTTTCTGTTGCCCTCGAGACTAGGATGCGGAGCAATGGCTTCAAACTACAGGAAAGCAGATTCCACCTGAACATTAGGAAGAACTTCCTAACTGTGAGAGCTGTTCAGCAGTGGAACTCTCTACCCTGAAGTGTGGTGGAGGCTCCTTTTATGGAGGCCTTTGAACAGAGGCTGCATGGCCATCTGTTGGGGGTGCTTTGAACACGATTGTCCCGCTCCTTGGCAGGGGGGTTGGACTGGATGGCCTGTGAGGTCTCTTCCAACTCTATGCTTCTATGAATACTGGTGGGGTTGGGGGGGGTGAATAGAGTACACAAAGAAATCAATCATTAATTACTACTACATCAATTAAAACCATTAAACATAAGACATACATAAAATTTAAACATTAAGACAAGCATGAAATCATCCTGTATAAACATTACAATCCCATGATCCAGAAATCATATACCATGGCCATTCCAAATTGTCATTGCACATGTTCCTTAATTATTCTCTGTACTGCGTTGTTTATTAGCCAAAGGCTTGATCCCACAACCATGTCTTTGTTCTCTTTCTAAATGCCAGGAGGGGAGGACACTGATCTAATCTTGCTGGGGAGGGAGTTCCAGAGCTATCACTGAGAAGGCCCTGTCTCTTGTCCCCACCAACTGCACTTGTGATGAAGGCAGGACAGAGAGCAGGGCCTCCCCAGATTATCTTAACCTCTGCGATAGTTCATAGAGGAAGTTACACATGCTGAAACTTCCTCCAGAGGTCAGTCCAGTTCCAAGTCAATTATCATCCTAAGTGCAGATGGAAATACTTTTATTCAGATAAACTCTTGTTTATTTTTCCAGATGAATTATGTGCTGAAGTAATTTGTACCTCAGCTGCAAGAAGTACACGCCAAGATGGGGAGAGTAATTGTGTTGTTTATTCATTCAGTCACTTCTGATTCTTCATGACCTCATGGACCAGCCCACGCCAGAGCTTCCTGTCGGCCGTGGCCACCCCCAGCTCCTTCAAAGTCAAGCCAGTCACTTCAAGGATACCATCCATCCATCTTGCCCTTGTTCGGCCCCTCTTCCTTTTTCCTTCCATTTCCCCCAACATTATTGTCTTTTCTAAGCTTTCCTGCCTTCTCATTATGTAGTGAAAGTACTTCATCTTTGCCTTTACTATCCTTCCCTCCAGTGAGCAGTTGGTCTTTATTTCCTGGAGTATGGACTGGTTTGATCTTCTTGGAGTCCAAGGCACTCACAGAATTTTCCTCCAGCATCACAGTTCAAAGCGTCTATCTTCATTTGCTCAGAGCCCTTCCACACAGCCCTATATCCCAGAATATCAAGGCAGAAAATCCCACATTATCTGAGTGTAAACACAGATAACCCAGTTCAAAGCAGATATTGTGGGATTTTCTGCCTTGATATTCTGGGATATAGGGCTGTGTGGAAGGGCCCTCAGCCTTCTTTAAGGTTCAGCTCTTGTATGCATAGGTTACTACGGGGATTACCATTGCTTTAACTATGTGGATCTTTAACTAAGCAGAGAGTGATTGTGTATATTTAATTTATATGTACTACTTTGAACATTATTTGTATTGGAGAGTAGGATATAAGCTTAGTAAAAGAATAAATTATTATCACTTGGAGTTCCCAAGACTGAAAGATGGCAGTGATTTATCATCTCTAGCCTTGTAAACACCAATATTTTATGTCCTAGGCTTTATTTGCTCTACTTTCTCTGGCCTCTTTGTTTAAATCTGGTTTTTTTAAACTATAAAAACCCACTCCTATTTTCCAGTTATTAGTTTTATCTTGTCTGAAAATAGTGGCTGAGCTCTTCATCTTCTCCTCTTTGGCTAATTAGTTCTTGTGAAGAGGTTGGTCCCTACGTCTTCAAAAGCTATTTTATAATTTGGTCTCATATCTTCCTTTCACGTGTCAAAGGTCATAAGAAAGGGATTTCCTGTAATTGGATGGAATTCAGGATTAATGATATAAATGATTATTCTAAATCCCATTAATTGCCGTGTCATTAATCAGCAGTTAATTTATGCATTGAATAAGCCGTTTGGAGTATCTTTGTGTTGTATTATAGTTGTTTGTTATATATGTGTGTATTCTTGCATGCCTTTGTTAAAGATAAAACAGAAACTTATTAAAATACAAGGGAATTGAGCCATTAAATTTAGAAGGCGTAGAAGTTAATCCTCAAGCAGCTATTTTCAGTTTCAAACCCATTCGTTCTCAACTTGATACATTGGTCTAAACATAATAGTGTTAATGGAAGAAAATGAAAAGTGATGATAGAGTTATATTTGTTTTATCCTGCTTGTGCAAGAAGTAGTGCATTTCCTTTTTATGATTTCTATGCATATTGTGTAACGGATTTTGCGTGGCCCAGAAATTGGGATCTGCAGGCGACATGGTTTGTATTAGCAGAATGACTAAAAGGTTTGGCCCTTAACATTATCCTAGTGTTTCTCAAACTTCCTAATGCTGTGACCCATTAATACAGTTCCTCCTGTTGTGGTGACCCCCAACCATTAAATTATTTTCGTTGCTAAATCATAACTGTAATGTTTTCACTGTTATGAAGCATAATGTAAAAATCTGATATATAGAATGTATTTTCATTCACTGGATGGAATTTGGCACAAATACCCAATCCACCCAAATTTTAATACTGGTATTTTATTTGTCGTGTCAGAGCAACCAGTCCATTATATTACATTTCTAACAGAACAAAGCAAACAAACAGAAAAATACAGAACTTGTGAGTTTGGTAGTTGGTTAAATGTCCTTTGACCAGTATCTGGCCACTTGGAGTGCCTCCGGTGTTGCTGCAAGAAGGTCCTCCATTGTGCATGTGGCTGGGCTCATGTTGCATTGCAACATGAGGTGGTCAGTGGTTTGCTCTTCTCCACACTCACATGTCGAGGATTCCACAAAAAATCAATCCCCCAACTCCACCAGTATTAATCCAAAGTGGATTAATACTGGTGGAGTTGGGGGATTGATTTTGTCATTTTGGAATTGTAGTTGCTGGGATTTATAGTTCACCTACAATCAAAGAGCATGTTGAACTCCACCAACGATGGAAATGAACCAAACATGGCACACAGAACTCCCATGACGAATAGAAAATACTGGAAAAGTTTGGTGGGCAGTGATCTTGAGTTTTGGAGTTGTTGTTCACCTATCTCCAGAGAGCACCGTGGACTCAAACAATGATGGATCTAGAGCAAACTTGGCACAAATACTCAATATGCTCAAATGTGGAATTTGGGGGAAATAGAGCTTGATATTTGGGAGTTGTAGTTGCTGGGATTTATAGTTCACCTACAATCAAAGAGCATTCTGAACCCCACCAAGAATTAGGCCAAACTTCCCACACAGAACTCCCATGCCCTGAGGGGACTTACTGGCGCGAGCCTCCCTCCAGCCTCGCACACTCTCCCTTGCCTGCATATGCTCACCACACTGCCATGTGTCAAGCCCGCCTGCTCTCCCCTCCCCACTTGGAGTCTCAGAAACAGCCCTCCCCTTGGCTTAGAGGCTGGCCAATCATAGTGGAGGAGGGCTTTTGGTGGGAGGATGTTTTCCGATGGTCTTTAGCAACCCCTCTGAAAGCCCCTTGCAACTCCCCAGGGGTCCCAACCCCCAGGTTGAGAAAAACTGCATTAACCTTTCACATTGACAGATGCTATAAATATTTTTCTGACTTGTTTTTAAAGTTAGGTAGTAATTCCGCATTTGTATTTCTTTAAAAAAACTTCCCCCCCCCTTTCCTAATGTATTTCCACATACGTTTGGATGGTTTGCAGTGTTGTTGTTTAAAATTTAATGAGGACATTTTTATCGATGCTGCATTTCTATCATATCTTCTAAAAATTAAGTCAAGCTATATTTACTAACAAATACACAGCTGAAAATACGCTTTTCTGAAAAGGCTGGAATGATTATTTGTGTTACTTCAGAGAAGCAGTGCAAAAGAACACTTACCGAAAAACAACCTGTGAAAGTAGCCTGATATTAAGAGTCCTGCATTGTGACATAGTGGGTTAAATCTGAGGTTTGAATACATTCATGCATCCAGATAACCGATGCATGGCGCCTCTGGGGAAACATCGGTGTTTGAAATCCCAGTTCTGTGCTTATAATGCTGTAACTTGTTTGACTGGGAGTTCTAAAGAACATCCACATGTTTACCTTTCAAGGATATGCTTCTTAGAAAAGGTGATTTAGTGAAGACAGTGGTAAAAGAAGTATCAAGATATTTATCTGACTACATTCAAGGAGCTTCAGGTTATCAGAGACTGTCTCAAAGAAAAAGAAAAGTCAGTAACATTCAGTAGAGCAGAAAGAATGTTTGATGTTCTGTGGGTGGATAACATTATCCAGAAAGTACAAAAGAGTAACTATGGAGGGAGAAAACAGAAAGAGGAGAATATTACATAAGGGGGAAAGGTTCCTTTAAAAAGTAATAGTTATAGATACCAAATTGAAATGGGGAGAGGAAATTTTAAGACTCAAGAAATTTTTGGTACTTGTGTTCCAAACATTGCCCTTCATTCAGTTTGCTTGTGAAGTATAGAAACAGCTATTGCACATGAGATGAGATTAAATAGATTTAGATTTAATAATTTATTTATTTATTTACAGTATTTATATTCCACCCTTCTCACCCCACAGGGGACTCAGGGCAGATTACAATGTACATATACATGGCAAACATACAATGCCATAGACAAAAAACATATATAGACAGACACACAGAGGTCATTTAACATTCCAGCTTCATGAGGGTATTCTGGTCACCAAGTGAGCTGTCTCTTCACCACCCATTTGTAACACTGAGGGAGTACTTCCCCATTCTTGGCATGCTTGCTGGAGATTTTATGGCATTGTAAATTAGTTAGATTAGCCTCCTCGCATAAGTGCTACCTAAACCCTTTATAAGAGATCCAACAAGCCCTCTCTGCTATTGCTTCCCCCGTGCAAAAACCTATGATAGAGGGCAGGAAAATTGCAAGGAGCAGAATTGTTGGACACCATGAAGGAGCGGAACAGGAAGAAAGTACCAGTTATTTTGGCACTGGATACCAAAATACATCCTTGAATCTTGGTCATCTTCTAAAGATAAGGACCAGCGTGTACACAGTAGATTATTGTTAAATTGACCTCTCTACTTTGTCTGCAGATGTTGATGAATGTGCTGAAGGGAGGCATTACTGCCGTGAGAACACTATGTGTGTTAACACACCAGGATCATTCATGTGTATTTGCAAAACAGGTTACATCAGGATTGATGACTACTCATGTACAGGTAAGAGATGCCAGTTGGTTTCCAAAAAGAACTCTCCAACATTTCAGTGCTGAAAAAATTACATGGATTATTTGATACCATTAAAAAGTTGAGTAATAACAAAATAGGGATGCATTTATGTGTCACATGTACATTGTTCTGTTTTATTTCAAAAGTTGTAATATTTATATGATTTTAATCTTGAATTTGGAGTGGAGGATTAGAATAATAGTCTATTATCTGCTCTATTATATCTAAAATATCAAAAACATACTTCCAGGTTACAGCGGGTTCCTTTTTCTAACATGATAGGACAGTATTTCAGGCAGTGAATCAGTTCACACATGACAAAATAAAATTTTCTTGAGAATGAGCTAGTCTTTGGTGATTTGGTGACTCCCCTTCCCCACTCTGGTCCAATAAGCATTATAACTGTAATATTGTTCTGTTGTTCCTGGAGGCTGAACTGGGAATAGTTTTGCTTCAGAAAGAAAGTGCTTCACATTTGGGGATCACACTGTCTGCTATGCTTTGACAATCCGCCCACCCCCATCTTAATAGTAGATACTATTGCAGATATTTTCCTACCATCCATTGATCTTCCTTTCAAAAGTAAAAAATTATTAAAAGCTAGAGGAAAGAGTAATATCTTACGCCTATTTCGGCATTCTCTGGTTTTGACTGTTTTTATTAGTTTTATATTAGCGTAGGTTAAAGAAAATTGTTTCAGCAATGATGATCTACATTTTAGCAGAAAGATTTTCTCTAGAATCATAAAATGATTGGTATGATTAACTGAGTCAGTATCTTTGGTATAGTTCACTGGCTTGAAGCCAATTTAGACCTTATATTTTAAGTTTAAGTATGAATACCAGAAATGATTGCTGGTGCTTTTTAATGGCCTGTTTCATTGATGTGCTTTCTATCTGGTTGTTTTTAATGCTGTTTTATGCATGCGTGTTTTTGTTTCATAGATCTGGTTCATGCTAGGTTATATCTTTTTGGGTGCACATTTTAAAAGCATTTGGTGGCAAAACAGAGAGTAAATATAAATACATTAAAAGCCACATAGATGGATACAAGATATCAGTAGATCTCAGTCTAGGTCAGTGGTTCTCAACTTGTGGGTCCCCAGGTGTTTTGGCCTAAAAGTCCCAGAAATCCCAACCAGTTTACCAGCTGTTAGGATTTTGGGAAGTTGAAGTCCAAAACATCTGGGAACCCACAGATCGAGAACCCCTGATCTAGAAGGTAGATGTGCACTACATTAATAATAAATGGACCAGAAAATGACTTCCTGTCCCCTAGTCTGTATTATAGTGCTTAAAGGAAGAATATAATAGAATGACTTTATTGTCATTGTACAACAAAATTAAATGCTTTCCCCAGCACACATTGCACAAACAACACACCCATCCCTCCACACACCAACCATCACCACAAAGCCCCCAATGCAACATGGAGTTTAAACCATGAAGTTTAATATAGCTCTAAGATAAAAGCTATCTCTCAGTCTGTTTGTCTATGTCTTTGTCACCTGTACTTTCATCCAGATTGTAATAATTAAAAAATAAGTATATCCTGAGTGAGATGGATCCCCATGAATGCTCTGAGCTTTCATAAGGCTGCAGGACTTATAAAGTTCTCCCAAAGAGGGGAGAGGGCAAACAATGATTCTTGTGCAGCAGTGGTGCCCTTTGGAGTGCCTTCCTACCTGCCACTGTGCAGTTACCAAACCTTGCCCAAATGCAGTAGGCTAGGACACTATATAGCAACGAGACAGAAAGTCTCCAGCAGTTTTTCATTCAGTTGTTGGATCCCTCACTGCTTATAGGTCTTGACATGTCTACCAAATTTGCTGTCAAATGTTACTGGTCTAGCAGTAGCAAAAATTGCATTTTAAGCCACTTCCACTTTAAGACAAGACAGCAAAGGAGCACATTTTTGTTTAAAACAGACTCTCATTTCAAGAAGCCTTATGGACATTTGATTTTGCTTTAAACCAAGATGTGTCTTGTTTTGCCATGTGTGTTTTCCTTTGATGTGGAAATACTTTAACACAGATATTATGCCACTGCCATGCTATGAAATCCAGGTGGCAAATGAATCTCATCATGTTTCAGTTTTGTTTAGATCCTTTTGTACTACGACTTTATCTTCTATGGTGTTAGCTTCATCTCTCGGCTCTATGTCATTTCCAACATTGATGAATGATTCTATACACTGTCATACTAGTTATTTACTGGAAAAAATGTTGAAAAGCATAGTGCGTACTCTCCTTGAGGCCTTCTTCCAGGAATATGCTGAGCCATTGCTTCTTACTCACTGAATAAACTTGCTAAATTAGCTGTATGTCCACCTGATTGTTGTATTGTTTAACTCACATTTTCCCATCATCAAGGGTATTAGAGGAAATATTATCAAATGCTTCATTGGGATTAAGATAGGGTGTGTCCACAGATTTCCAATGATCTGTCAAAATAATAATTCCATGAAAGTAGGAGAAAAAGCCCTTTGGCATGATTTATTCCTGACCAATCTATGTTTTTTCTACTAATTGATGGATTTTTAAATAGTGTCTGGAGAATACACCAATTAATGATTTTTTCAACAGTTTTGTCCTTAATTAATGTAACAATCACTGGACTATAGTTTACTATAGGCACCAAATAAATATTCAGTGCCAAGCAAGCAGTTTGTCATTAAAATACTATAGTCCACTGTATCTTAGCTGTTCTGCATTGTTGAGTATAGTAGTACTTCATCTCTGAAATTTTGCGATGCTCTTTACAGCTCTAATATGTTATACCCAAGAAGGAGATTATGCTGGGCTGGAAAAGGTCTCTTTGATTTTAGCTGTCTGTTGTGCTGCCTCTTAGCTCACCTGCCTGTCTTTGGCAAACACTGCTGCCTGCCTGTCCAGGGCCTGCTGTGCTCTCTTTCAATGCAAGATTTACAGATGGATTGTCTCAATCAAGGGCCCTTCCACACAGTCATATAGCCCAGAATAACAAGGCAGAAAATCCCACAATATATACTTTGAACTGGGCTATCTGAGTCCACACTGCCATAATTCCAGTTCAGAGCAGAAGATATGGGATTTTATTCAGCTGTGTAAAAGGGGCCCAGGAAATCCAGGACTTTGAGAGCCCTTCCAGATTGGATCTATATCCCAGGATCTGATCCCAGGTTTTCTGCTTTAAATTGGATTATATGAGCCTGCACTGCCTGATAATCTGGGATAAACGGAAAACTAGGATCAGATCCTGGGATATAGGGCCTGTCTAGAAGGGCCCTGAGTCTTCAAGACATGAGCAGGACTGCTGATGATAGAGTAAGTTGTAGGTCTGTCATTCATAGAGTGGCTGTAAACCAGTCAGTTTAATGGCAATCAGCAATAACAGTTACAACATCATCCACCTGGATGCTTTTTCTTTTTTTTACTTTTTTTGTTGCAGTATTTCAGTGGCAAATTTTGAGCATGTTTTAACTCACCCCTTACCCACTTCTGCTTTAATGACTCTGGGAAGGTGCTCCCAGTTTTATTGGAACATTTCCAGAACAAAAGCTGCATGAGTTGCCAAGATTTCGCACTCATGATTTAATGATGTATTTTTCTAGATGTTTGTTTTTTAAAAGCAAGCTTTAAAGGGTTGTAAGTCTTTGCTTATAAAATAATATTAGTGGGGTTATAAGTGTATTTGTAGATTTTTTGCACTTCAAGATTTTGTTTAAAACTTAGATTTGCTGCACAAACTAATTGTAACCCATGCTTTCTGTACAAAAATTATTGTTTTCATAGCAGTTTTCCCAAATTGCAATGTACTTAGACATGAGAACACAAAGTGGATTGTGTGTATGTGTGCGCAAACTCATTTTTAAAAAGAAACCACTTGAATTGTGAAAAATATTGTGATGAGTAACCATCTTCTAAATCCCTTTTTAACCACTAATCAGAATTGACTAGAGAGACACAACTTCCAATAGAGGCTTGTCCTCTGCCAATCTACTACTGAGCACAATTCAAAATGCTGGCTTTAAGTTATAAAGCCCTAAATGGTTCTGGCCCAGTTTACCTGTTCAAACGTATCTCCCTCTATGATCCACCTTGGAGATTAAGATCTTCTGGGGAGGCCCTGCTCTTGGTCCCACCTCCTTCGCAGGTGCAGCTGGTGGGGCTGAGAGACAGGGCCTTCTCAGTGGTGGCCCCTTGACTGTGGAACCCCCTCCCTAGTGAAATTAGAGCAGCTCCCTCCCTCCTGACCTTAAGGAAAAAAGCAAAAATATGATTATGGGGCTACACTTTCGGATAGTAAGTTTTTTTTAATGTGACAAGAGAATAAGGAATAGTGAACTCACAAATGGAACAATCTTCAAATTATGATTTTGGGTGGTGTGATTTTAATAATTGGTTTTGAATTGTGTTGTTTTAATGTTTTGGTTGTAAATGGCCAGGCTACCATGTAATGATGTAATGATATAGACATTTGAAGTCTTAGAGTCTGCCATAGTAGATTATTAAGGGTCTTAAGTGATCAAAGCAAATGTTGAAAGGATTGAATATTCATTCACATTAGCACATTCTTTCTTTCAGATGTATGATTTATCAATCAGACTTAAATATTATGCCTTGTTTACCCTGCAATGAAAAGCTACTAAACAAATCAAACTGTGATATAAGATGATTTAAGTAAAGGCATGCACTAGGACAAACAGATACCTCTAAGGGAGCATTGTTTCTAAAAATGTGGTAAGCATATAATGTAATTTGACCCAAAGATTCCCGAGGCCCATAGGATTTACAGTGATTCATTCAGATCATAGTAGAATGACATAATTAGGAAAACATTTGAATAATTGCATAGATGTGAGCAGTTGCATAGCTTTCAGTTTCTATGGTATCACAGTCATAAGCAGCTTTTAACCCACAATAATGAATAGAAAACTATACCCTGATTATATAACCCAGATTTCATTTTCTGCATTTATATATAATCAACAAATGGCATTATAACCGTTTC